AAACGCAATAAACTTTCGTCAACTTCTATTAACGCTATATGCGTTTTTAAGTCAGCATTAAAGGCGAGAGGAGAGACATGTATAAATATGACGATTGAAAAGAAACATTTGTCTCTTATGTCAAAGAAACAAATTATACGCTAGTGCTACTAAAAAAAGAACATAGTACTTTAAGGTTATATGCTGTAGATGATGAAAATATTGCTGATCCCTCGTAAGCAGATTGAAAATATTAAATATTAAATTATTAAAATTTGTCCATGGAAGACATCACGCTTACAGAGAATAAGCGTGTAAAAAATCTTGTTCGTAATAGACATCACGCTTACAAAGAATAAACGTGTAAAAAATTTTGAGATTTAGAAGACATCACGCTTGCAAAGAATAAGCAAGCGTGTAATAAATCTTATTCATAGACGGCATTTTGCTTAAAAGAATATAAGAATATAAAAATATAAAAGAAGTTGTCCGTAATATCTATGACTACATACTGACTACACACACACACACACACACACACACACACACACACACACACACACACACACACACACACACACACACACACACACACAAACACATACATAGGGAAATGTAAAAAATTAATCTTTTTGCAAGATTAAAAAATTAATTCTTTAATATTGCAATAACTTAAATATTTAAATTATATTGTATGTGTAATAATTAAATGTATTAATAATAATTTTTTACATTTCTCTTCTGACGGAAGAGACCACCATTTTCTTCGGTTTCCGTTGAGCAACAATGTATATGTTTTATAATGGAAAATAAATTCAATGGGAATACAAAGAATATAAAATATTAACGATAATATTTTTAATAGCTAATATTTAAATATCATTAAAAGTACTAATATTAATTTTAATATGAAATATCTTGTAAATAAGAAGTGTATATATTGGCCAAGAGTGGATTATATTTGCAAATTTTTTTTTATATTTACATATAACAAATATATATCGTAATAATTGTACGATTATTAATGTGTGAAAGCTGATAAAAAATAAATCCATAATCGCGCATTGCATCAACTCGAAATCTGAAATCATATTGGTATAGCGAATCGAGAAAGAAAAGAACAGCAGACAGTTATCTCTGTCCTCCTCTACCGCTCGAAGCTAACCGAAGCGCGGAGCAAACACGGACGAGAGTGCATGTTAGTGTGTGTACCAGTCTATCCATGGCAGCAGCGTGGCTGCAATCGTGGATTTGCTGGCACTGCGTTCAAGTGATCGACATAATAAGGTTCGATGCCAATTATTATGTACCAAAAATAGAATCGCCTCATTAAAATCCGTAACAATACTTCGCCTTGAATTGTGCGGTGCGCTATTACTGGCCAAATTATATAGCGAGATGCGTAAGGCGATAGAAATTCAAGTGGATAAGATCATATTATGGTGCGATTCAATGATTGCGTTACATTGGATAAGAACCTTCACACCGTTTGAACACATACGTGTTCCATCACGTCATTCAAATTCGAAAGAATACGGAAGCACAAAATTGGCGACATGTCAATTCGAAAGATAATCCAGCCGATGTTTTATCAAGGGATCAATTACCGAAATCTCTTTTAAATAATCAGTCTTGGTTCGCGGGTCGTTCATGGCTAACAAAGGAAGAAAATGGCCCCCGGAAATTATGGAATCAATCGACGTACCGGAATTGAGAAGGGATACACGTGTTTACCGACTTCAACGCTAATAACATTTTACAAAAATACTCTTCCTACACAAAGACGCTGCGAATAGTGACATTGTGCCTACGTTTCCGAAAAATATTTTTCGATGGCAATTAAACGCGAAGGAGTTAGAAGAAGTGAAAATAAAAATTATTCAAGTCTCTCGTTTCTCACTTGAATTAAAGGAGATTACCAATAAGCAACCGATAAAAAGAAGCAACATCGTTGCATTAAACCCGTTTCTCAATCAACATGGCTTAATTCGTGTCGGCAGACGTCTCAACAAATCGAAATTGACTTTTACACAAAAACATCCTATCTTGATTCCGAATCATCATTTTATAACAGATCTCGTTATTAAATAAATACATGAAAGATATTATCACGTGGGTGACTCAAACTACATTGTACAATATTAAACAAAAATTCTGATTGCTTGATAATTGGAACCAGGTTCATAGAGTCAGACGATCTTGCACTCGCTACTTCCGTTTCAACGCCGATACGGTCAAATATAAGATGAACTGCCAAGGGTGCGATCTGAGGCATTCCCGTTCGCTAATAAGGAATTGATTTCTATGGTCTGTACTATATTAAAGAAAAAAAATATAGGAACTGAAATCGTATTAAAGTATACTTATCTGCATATTCGTTTGCATGGCTACGAAAGCAGTACACTTAGAAATAATAAGCGATCTCACCACTGAAGAGTTTCTAGCGGCTTTGCGGCGATTTATGCTAGGCGAGATATCCCGACACATGTTTATTCCGATAATGGTATTAATTTCATCGGAGCGAATAATCAAAGGAATTATACGTTCTCTTCTGACGAATATAGGGACCAAGTAAATCGATTTTCACTAGATTATCGTATTACGTGGCACTTCATATTTCCGTTCGCATCACATTTCGGCGGTCTATGGGAGTTGACCGTAAAATTGTTTAAGCATCATTTTAAACGTGTTGAGGAATTCTTGTTTACGTTCGAAGAATTAAATATCTTCACTGTAGAAGTTGAAAGTATATTGAATTCTAGATCTCATATTTATCAGCCGATCCCAATAACTCCTTAATTTTATCTCCATGTCTGATCGGTAGACCGATAACTAATATGCACTGTCTGATCGGTAGATCGATAACTAATATGCCCGAAGCTGATCTCTCGTTTATCCTAACCACACGCTTATCAATCTGGCAGCATATACAAGGTACGAGGATTTTTGATCCCGATGGAGTCTAGAATATCTCAATGAATTGCATGAACTCGGCATAAATGGATGGAAAGAAAATAATCATCGATCCCTCTTCGATCGCTCCTTAAGGAGAAAAATTTCCCATGCACTCAATAGGCCATAGACAAGATACTGGAAATACATTCCGGCGAAGACGGTGTAGTGCGAGCTGCCACCGTCAAAACAAGTGCGGGAATCTTGAAACGAAGTGCAACGAAGTGTTTATGCCCCCTTCCAATTGAAGGATGATAATCTGCAAATGTTATATGCAACAACTTGTTAAATATAAGTAGACTATACTCTAAATTCAATTGATCATTATACTCAACGGGGGGAGTATGTTCCGACAAAATATAGTAAGTAGACCCACTGAAATCTTCCCGAAAACGAAACGACTCCAGCGTATGTCCACGACTGGGCAATCACGACCTTGCGGCCAATCCACGACTCTATGTATAATCTCTCACGACGATTGGTCCGCGCGTGACTCCCGAATTCTCTATATTTAAAAGCGTAGCAAACGAGCGAAGCGTCCTCTTATATTGCAAATCAAGCGTAATCTCAAAAAACCGAGTCTGCAGAAGCCGAATCTGTTGAAACATCGCAAGAGGCCGAGTTTTCTCTTGTTTATATTGCGAAATTTACATTGTGTGAGATAAACTTGTACGTAACAGACATGTTAAGTCTATACTAGCACCTTTTGAATAATGATGATGATTACAACAACAACAATGACAATAAAACAATAACAACAATAATAACAACAACAACAGTGTTATTAATATTTATTTTATTAATAAATAATTATTTACTAGAATTAGTTATTATCTATTAATTACTAATATAATTAATATATTACTCAAAGTAATAAAAATTAATAATTGATTCAAAAAATTGTTTTAAAAATCTGCTTTAAAGAAAGATATTTTATGTAATTGATTTTTAACTTAAACTTTTATTAAAATATATCAACAATTTTAAATAGTATATTCGTATTTTTTATTCCAATTAAATATCTCTGTATTCGCAAAATATCAACACATAAAATAAAGTAGTTTAGAAAGAGAAGAACAATGATTTCTTATAAAAAATACGGAAATCAATGTCGTCGATGACAGATTGCGAAGACAGTTGTTATTGATATGATTTTACTAACAATAGTTAATCAAAGGCGGCAGAAGCTATGGGAGTTAGTCGCCGCCCGGGAGTGCCGAGACCACCGCGTATGGCGCGCCCATTCGCTTTGCGCGCGGAATGCAAACATGAAGTTACCCATACATACACATATATAATATACACACATAAACATCAAATACACACGATTGTTTGTAAATAGTTCATTACTTGCAAATAGAATACACGGCATGACTGAAATTAAGGACTCTCTTTAGTAAGGTTATTGAGCGTGGACACAACCTTCCTATCCTCACATCCATCACATAAAATTAAGCTTGCAACACGCAGTCGCTTCCAATCTCTCTTACATTCACTCTCGCTGCAGATCTCGTTCGTTATCCTATTCTTTCTCTCTCTCTCTCTCTTTCAAAACATACTCCTATTATAATCAAATAAAAAATCCGTCAATCTCTATAGTTATATTGGTATATTTTAAAACCCAATTGATAGTAGCTTTAATTCTTTTTCAAAATTATAATATCATAAAATATTAATTGCGTTTAACCTAATTTAACCCAAATGATATCTAACATAAGTGGTAGTAGCTTTCATTCTATTTCAATATACGAGGGCGGTTTGAAAAGTCCGCGCAAAGTCAAAAAGATAGCATCACTAGTCTGTATCGAGGTTATTTTCAGTTAGTAGCATCTCTTGAAAGAACACACCAAATTTCAACTAGATTGATCTATTTCTCTGTATTTGGCGTTTGTTTGAATCGAGGAAGTCGAGTGATTTCTAAAAAATGAATGAAAGAGAATTTCGTGTTGATCAAGCATTATTTTATGAAAAGCAAATCGTCTCAGGAGACTAAAAAGAAGCTTGATAAACATTATGATGAATTTGCACTTTCAATTAGAATAGTTTATAAATGATTTCAAACGTTTCAGAGAGCATAAGTGACTTTGAACGTTCTGGACGTCCTGTTGAAGCTATTACTCCAGAAATCATTGATAAAATCCATGATATGGTAATGGATGATAAAAGAATCAAGGTACGTGAGATTGTTAATGCTATGGGCATCTCGAGTGAACGGGTACATAATATTTTGCATCTACATTTAGGTATGAAAAAGTTATCTGCAAGATGTGCTGCGATTACTCACAATTGATCAAAAACAAAATCGTGTGAAGTGTTTCCAAGAATGTTTGCAATTGTTCCAGCGGAATCCACAGGACTTTAGGTGTCGTTTCGTCACTGTGGACGAAACATGGATACACCACTACACGCCTGAAACCAAATTACAATTCAAACAATGGATTGCCAGCGAGGAAGCTGCACCAAAGAAGGGGAAGGCCATTCCTTTGACCGGGAAGATTATGACGACTGTCTTTTGGGACTCACAAGGAATAATATTCGACTATATGGAAAAGGGTAAAACTATTACAGGTGAATATTATTCATCGTTATTGGATCGTTTGAAAACCGAGCTGCAAGAGAAACATTCACGATTGAAATACAAGAAAATCCTTTCCCATCACGACAACGCACCAGCTCACTCCTCCGGAGTTGTGGCCGCAAAATTGATGGAGTTACGATTTCAACTCGTTGGCTAGCGGGAAGGAAATTTCATTCAAACGAGGAAGTGATTGCGGAAACGAATGCCTATTTTGCAGAGTTGGACCAATCATATTATTCGGAACGGATCAACAAACTGGAGCAGCGTTGGACGAAGTGTATAAGCCTAAAAGGAGACTACGTTGAAAAATAAAAAAGGTTTATATCCCGAAAAATTATATATTTCTTATTTTTGCATGGACTTTTCAAATCACCTTCGTATGTATACATAATATTCCTGCATATCCTTCTATGAAGAATTTTTAAATATATGTATATTTAAATCGAATGGAAAATTTAATTACAAAAATTAAAGAGATAATAGTACAAAATAGTACAAAAATAGTACATAATAGTACATAATAGTACAAAATAAAAAAATTTAATTTAAATAAAAAAATTTTTATGTAAAAAACTTGATGCTAGATAAAAAAAATAAAACAATTTAAAGTAATAATATATAGATAATAATAATATTAAAATAAACATAAAAATACAGTTCCTTGCATATAACATATGTCGTCATATTACTTTATAACAACTAAACTTAATCTTATATCAATCTTATATTAATCTTATATTGCTCGAACAATATACATATAGTGGTCATTTTTATTGCTGTCGCAACGTTCCTTAAATCTTGTCATTTTTTTAAATAAAAATTTCTCATTTTTACTTTGTTATTATTTCAATCAAGGTCTAGCAACGCCAAGTTTTTTTACATTAAAAATTTTTTATTAATTTTTATTTAAATTAAATTTTTTTATTTGTACTATTACCTTTTTAATTCTTTGTAATTAAATTTTCCATTTGATTCAAATATATATTTATTTAAAAAATTCTTTACAAAAGGATATATCGTAATATTATGTATACATATATTGAGATAGAATGAAAGCTATTATCACTTATGTTAGATACATATTATTTGGATTAAATTAGGTTAAACATAATTTTATGATATCATAATTTTGAAAAAGAATTAAAGCTATCATTATCACTTGGGTTTTAGAATAAGACGAATATAAAGGTACGAATCATTGATTGATTTACATTTTTTAAAAGCAATTGTACATTTAACTTTCGAGGTAATAAGACTATAACTTGGCGCCATATTTTCGATATCAAATCTTTTATATTGAATGATATATTAGGATTAAATATTAGATACTATTTGAATTTAATAAGATTGTGATATAATACTCAGGTTTAAATAAGATCTGACTATACTTGACACCCTTTTTTTATCTTTTTGTAAAAAAATAATTTTATAGTGATATCAGACATTTTATAATATTAACCATCTTTCTATATTCGAAAAGCGCATCTTTTATACTCTCGAAAAGCGACACCTTTATACTTGACATTTTTTCTATAATAAGCATATGTTACGTCGTGACGACTGCACTATTCTTCTCTTTCGGGTATCTGTTATTAGAATTTAATTAAACAGATAAACGAGTGACGCATGCTTTGTTACTCTGTTAGATCGCGACGGTCACACAACTGATCTCCTCCGGAGGTCGGTTTCTAGAATTCGGCTAAGCGGATAATCCCTATTATCTTAATCGCTGAAGTACACCGACGATACATCTTGATGACTGCGCGACTCTCCTCTTTCGGATATCAGTTATTAGAATTTAGTTAAGCAGATAAATGAATGACACATGTTGTGTTACGGTCGCGACGGCTACGCCGTTAATCCCTTCCGAGAGTCGATTACTAAGAATTTGGCTAGACGGATAATCCCTATTATCCTAATTACGAAAAAACAATACGTGTACAGATGTTTTCCTCAACGAAATCATATATATATAGTGCCCTTAAAGGCACGGAAGGCACTCTCTCTGCTACGTCCCATTTCTTTACACGGTCGGAACATTTCGTTTTACCAGTTTGTCGATAATTCAAGTTATCAATAATTTAGTCAGTGTCAGTTGAAAACAACCAACAAGAACAAGCGATCAAGTTTCTTAACGACACTATTACCGCTTTCATCTCGCAGATCTCAACTCTACAGAATAAAAGTAAGTTTAATTACACATAAAAAATTCTCTTAGTAATAATTTTCGGGTCTCTTCTCCTTATACTTTCTCATTCACCCTTTCTATCCTCTGCCGTTCTCCTTACACGTCTACTCCCTTTTTCTTTTTCTTTTCTCTTTCTTTCCTTGCTTCGGCCGTCGAACCTCTCGGGCTCCCTATGCGTTGCGGAGCACTCAGCAGGTTCATGGCTCCCGAATAGTTTGGCAAAAATCTGCTTCTTCCCTGTTGGCTTCAGCCGTCGAACCTCTCGGGCTCCCTATGCGTTGCGGAGCACTCAGCAGGTTCATGGCTGTCGAGTAGCTCGGGAAATCTATTCTTTTGGCTTTTCTCTCCTCTCTTACGATTTTCTTTTTCCCTTTTTTCATTTCTCTCCTCTCGGACCTCTCGGTTTCCTGAAATATTTCAGAGATAGCCTTAAGGTTCGCGACTAACGACATTTCTTTCATATTCCAAATCCATTCCTTTTTAGTGAAAGCTGGATCATCCACACTCTCCGACGCTCAAAGACGGAGGCGAGCCCTGAAGAGGCTCCGTTACCGTCGGAACAAGCGAGCTCGCCAGACGGGAAGCTATCCTTTGCCTGGGACATCCGAGGTTTTAATACATCAAGAAACCACGAGTTGTTCCAGCAGGAGACCCAATTATTATTTACG